AATTTAATATTAACACCATCAAAGGAAACTTTGTATACGGTGCTCTGCTTTCTGCAAATAGGCATGTGAATTTCAAATGGGAATATTAATGATGATAATTCACAAAAGCACCGTAAAAATTGAACAAGAACCTTCCATGCACACACACACAAACACACACGCACACGCACACACACACACACAACACTCATCTATCAACAATGAGAATCATTACTGTGAGAAGTCAGGATTCTTACCTTTTCACAGGTATGCATAAGATTTGGGTTTTGTAGAAGAAAACGTTAAGCTACCTTTTTGTCTTTTAAGGTCTACTTTCATCTATATTTAATGATTAATATAAAGATGATGCATGAGAAAAATGGTTTTTCCTGAAAAATTTGAAATCTTACCAAAATGGAGAATCTTTTTTCCTCTTTTCTTTGAAAACACCCATGCTTGGCTTCTTGGAATGGGAGGCTCCGAAATCACAGTCCTCAGACTCTTCCCAACTATCTCCAGACTTGAAGACTGTCTGACCCCAACGCCTCCTAGCACTTTTATGACCCAGTGTGCCATTTGGCTTCTGTGGTGAAAAATTAGTCGTTACAATCTTTAATCATGTGCTGAACACCTTTTATGCACAAGCTATTATATTAGAGGCTGAGTTGCCATTCTCAAGGAGCCTTCCATATACTTAAGGAGACAACGTATATACACAGTTAAAAGCGTTAACAAAAACAGGTAGTACATGCCAAAAATATAATAAGTGTTCAGAGGGAGGAAAGGTCTCTGTGAAATTGGGCTGGGGGAATTTGAATATTTACAATCTGAGTTGACTCATCTTTGATGTCAAGGATCCAGAAAACTGAGATCTGGCTGTGTCTCTTTGGGCAAGTGACTTAACTTCTCAAGCCTTAGTGTCCTTCTCCTTAAGTGGGGATAGCCTTAAGGAGGAGAACACTAAGGCTGGCACATGCCAGTGTCCCTCTCTCTTCCCTTTCCTAGAATGCAGATGTGACTCTCAAAGAGCTATAGTCATCTTGTGGCTACAGGCATGGAAGCCACCTGCTGAGGGTGGTGGAACCAGAAGACAGAGCAGCCTGGTTCCTGAGGAAGCTGGATGAGCTCTGGATTACCCACCACCTGACTTGTTGTTACCTGAGAAAACAACCCCTATTGTTTAAGCTACATTAGGCAGGTTTCTGGGATAAGCCACTGAACGTAATCCTGATGTACACAGAGAGGGAAACAGCAGGAATGACTTCAAAAGATTGAACCTGATTGTCTCAGAATGGTGATTCCTTATTAACAGAAATAAGGAATAAGGAAGAAGTCCTAGCGTGGGGCAGACAATGAATGGGATTTATACAAATGTATAGAGAGTGGTTCGGGAGCATATAAACTGAAAAACCCAAAAGACAATTTCAAGTTAGGGAACAAAGCTTGGAAGTAAAGTCAGCAAATACAACTATGCTGAGAACAAGAAAATGTGTACATGCAAAAAGAAAAGGAGGGAGGGAGGGAGGAAGGAGAGACATGCTAGGGCTGGCTGCTTAGCTCAGCTGGTTAGGGCACCGTGTAGTAACACCAAGGTCAAGGGTTCCGATCCCCATACCGGCCAGCTGCCCAAACAACAACAACAAAAGAATGGATATGCACCTGGTGGTGGATGACCACAAAAGTGGTATTTACCAACTGTTACCAACTGTTATACTATGATTTTCTTTGCCAGGGAGAACCATCTACAGACTGAAGAGAACAAAAAGATGTGAAGCTCCAGATCAGTAGACTTGATAAAAGGTTACACTTAGCTCAATTCAGGACACCTTTCGGCTGAATTGTATCTTAGGTACTGACTCTGGACAGCTGAACACTGTCAGTGATATCCAAGTAATGCTGCACGTCTGAGAAGACTGGAAAGGGGCAAATATAAATAATCTTCATAAAGTGGAAGGTGGATTTTTACAAACTCCACATGAATAAGTTTGGAATAGGATGAGGGCAAAGATTCTAAAATCAATTATTAAAGGGAAAAATATATGAGCACTAAGGGAAAAAAGTGGTGGATCATATAGGCTGCCATTTTTCATAAAGATCAACCAGTGAGTTCATTAGATGTAGTTTACATGGACTTCGGTCAAGTGGGTGACAGGATTTTTCATGATATCCTCATCAATGAAATGAAGTAATGGAAGGTCAGCAAATGTAGATCAGTACACAGTTCAATAATCTGACCAAGAGTACTGATTAATGGATCGGTATTTTAATCCAGAAAATGGTTCTAGCAGCCTGCCTAAAGGCTCACTGCTATTCTTTTCATCATGAAGACACAGGGGAAAAAAAACCAAACAACTAAATAAATCCATAGCTGGCAACAAGCTGGGCAGAATGGTTAAGCTGAGAAGAAAAAATAAGAATTCAAAAACAGAAATTTCAGAGGTAAAAGTGAGGTCTTGGAGCTTTTTGAATCCTAGAGATGAAATACACAAGTAGAGGTACAGAATATGTGATTTCGCAGAAGCATTTGTAAAAAAGCAGACTTCGAAATTTTAGTTGACAGAATGCTCAATTCCAGCTCTGAAACTTATTAGCTACATAAATATTTGGGGCCAGGTTACTGTGTACTTTAGAGAATGCACACGGGCCTAGCACAGGGCACGGCACTCAGCAGCTCAGTAAACACGAGAGTTAGCCTCCTTTTCTTCCCTCAGTACAAATCAACATCTGATATGTCTTCCAAGAAAAAAAAAAAATGTAAACCTTGGTGGCACCAGTGGACATATGGTTCTGAAGGGTTGGAGGTGATTCATCCTGCTTCCTACTCCACACCCATGGTCAGCCTCTAGTTCTGGCAGCCTCATTCTAAGTGGAAATCAGGGTTGTGAGGGGACCTAGGGGCTCCTTCATACACAGGAACTGAGGTTACACAGTCATCAGTGAACGATGCGCAGCAGGGCAGGGAACAGGGGACGTTTCTCTCAGAGAAAAGCGCAAGTAATATAGGTGCTATTTTCAAATATCTAAAAGGCCTCTGATAGAGTTTGGATGTGTTGGCCCCCCAAAACTCATGTGGAAATTTGATCCCCAATGTGACAGTGTTGCAAGCTGTTTGAGTCATGGGGATGGATCCCTCATGAATGGATTAATGCTTTCCCTAGGTGAGGAGATTAATGAGTGAGTTCTCACTCTATTAGTTCCCATGAGAGCTGGTTGTTTAAAAGACCCTGGCACCTCCTCTCTCTCTCTCTTGCTTCCTCTTGACATGTGATCTGCTTGTACCTGCTGGCTGTCTGCTGCTTTCTGCCATGAGTAGAAGCAGCCTGAGGCCCATGCCAGATGCAGCTGTTCCAGAATCGTAAGCCAAATAAACCTCTCTGCTTTATAAATTACCCAGTCTCAGGTATTTCTGTTATAAGCAACACAAATGGACCAATACAGAAAATTGGTACCGAGGAGTGGGGTGTTGCTATACAGATGCCTGAAAATGTGTATGTAGCTTTGGAACTGGATAATGGGCAAAGGTAGGAAGAGTTTGGAGGACTCAGAAGATGACAAAAAGATGAGGGAAAGTTTGGAACATTTTAGAGATTTGTTAAATGGTTGTGACCAAAATGCTGATAGAAATGTGGACAGTAAAGGCCATGCTGATGATGAGATCTCAGATAGAAATGAGGAACTTATTGGGAATTGGACAAAAGATCACCCTTGCTACACCATAGCAAGGAACCTGGCTGAATTGTGTCCATGCCCTTGGACTTTGTGGAAGGTGAGACTTAAGAGTTATGAACCAGAATGTTTGGCAGAAGAAATTTCCAAGCAGCAAAGCATTAAGGAAGCTGCAGTTACTTCTAACAGCCTACTCTGAGTTATGGTAGCAAAGGCATGATGTTAAGCCAGAATTTGAAAGAGAAGCAGAGTGTAAAGATTTGGAAAATTTGCAGCCTGGCCATGTGGTAGAGATGCAGAGAGTAGGAGAAAAATGCAAGGGTGAAACATATAAACTGGTTACTAAAGACATTGTCTTGGCAGTGAAGCAGCCAGATGCTAATAACCAGGACAATGTGAAAAAAGCCCTAAAGGCATTTGAGGAGTCTGGAAGGGTGCCCCACCCATCACAGGCCCTGAGGCCTAGAAGGACTGACTTGTCCCAGAGGACAGACCTGGGGTGCAGCTGCCCTTGGGAACCTGCTCCTTGCATCCCAACTGCTCTGGATGGAGCAGCCCTGCCTCAAGTGGCCCGAAGTGTGGTTCATGCAGCAGCTCTGGAGAGTAGAAGCCTGAAACCTCAGTGGCATCCATGTAGTGTAAAGTCTGCAGGCCAGCAGGACATGAGAGCAGTGGAGGTGTGGCAGCCTCCAACCAGATTTCAGAGGATGTATGGAAAAGCCCAGGGACCCAGGCAGAGACCTGCCGGGGGGCAGAGCCACCACAGAGGTCATCTACTAGAGCAATGAGGAGCAGGAAAGTGGGGTCAGAGCCCTCACAGAGAGGGAAATTTCCCCACCAGGGAAATGTCTAGTAGAGCCAAGGCAGCAGGACTTGGAAAAGCCCAGAACCCCAGGACCCCAGATCTGTAAGGCCACAGGCAACATGCAACACCTACCTGGAAAAACTTCAGATACCTCCACAGCTCAATGCACTGCACCTGGCAGAGCTGTGGGAGCAAGGGTGCCCAAGGCTTTGGGAGCCCGAGATGTCCCATTGTGCCCAGGATACAGGACTTGGAGTCAAAGAAGATTATTTTGGAGCTTTAAGATTTAATATCTGTCCTGCTGGGTTTCAGACTTGTTTGGGACCTGTTTCTCCTTTCTTTATGAGATAGGGAGACCCCCACTTTCATAACATATGCAACTCACTTCTGTGAAACTGCTTGCTGTGTGACAAGATAGATTAATTAAGTTTAAGTGGTGTTTGAATTGCTTAAAAAATGCTATTGTTTAAAATTCCCCCTTGGCTCTTTAGCCCTGCCTTGATAGAAGTTAAAAGCTAAATATTAGCCTGCACTTACTTAGAGAAGTTTGAATTTTGTTTAATGTTCCCCACCCAAGCTTCCCCTAAGCAATTAACAGGCTTGTTTCAGCTTCTGTTATCAGCTTGAGCTCGGCCTCCTCAAACCCCCTCCTCACACTAGGAGGGAATGTGTGTGATTATATGATAACTTAAAGTATGTAACTATATGATAACTTTAACTGTGTGACTAATGTAAAAATGTACCTTTTAAAAATCCCTCTAAACTTCAGTTCAGGGCTGCTCCCTTCCCAGACTTTTCTTGGAGGGACAGTCGCAGGCCAGCCAATAAAGACTGCCTTTTAAATTCTCAATTGGGTGTTCTGGTTCCTTTTCCATGTGGCAGCCTCGCAACATTTTGGCCTATTCCTCCCTCTTGGAATGGGAACGTGTACCCAATGTCTGTTCCACCATTGTATCTTGGCAGTAGATAAATTTGGTTTTGATTTTTACAGGTTCACAGCTGGAAGGAGTTTTGCCTTTGGTCTCAGATGAGTAGAAATAGCCTGAGGCCCATGCCAGATGCAGCTGTCTCAGAATCATAAGCCAAATAAACCTCTGTTCTTTATAAACTACCCAGTCTCAGGTACTTCTGTTATAGCAACACAAAATGGACTAATACAGCCTCCTTTCAAGAAGAGGGATCCCCTTTTTTAAAAAGTGATAGAAAACCAGATTTTAGCTCAGTATAAAGAAGAACTTTCTAATACTCAGAACTGTCCCAAAAATGAAGTAGATGCCTCAGGACCTTGGAGGTGGTTTAAAGATTCTGTGGACGATTCATTCATTCATTCAACAAATATTTATTGAGAATCTACCATGTGGCAGGCACCATTCTGGGTTCTAGGGCTATATTGATAAACAAAACAGATCTCTGACCTCTTGGAACTTGCATTCTTGTGGGAAGGGCTAGATAACAAACATAAGCAACAAGTAATTAATAGTATGTTAGTAATGTGGTTAGTGCTGCTGGGGGCAGGGGAACCTCACTTATGCTAGGATGGCAGGGGTGGTTGGGGACTGCATAAGGAATTAGATACATGGCTGTTTAAGATCTCTTTCAGTCCTAAAATGCCATAATGCAATTGGATTTAGGAGTGTACCCCCTGAGGGGACAGCTAAAATTATATGGCACTTGGTGAGCTGAACAAAAGAACTAGTAAGAAGTTCTATATGCCTGACACTTAAAACACCCATTCTGTTCATGTTCATTAGCATTTGAAAACAAGGTAAAATTACAGTTAAAATCCTTAAGATTTAGGATCAGTACTCTTGACTACTGATTCATTTCTTTCTTTGAATTCTTTTGCATCTATATAACTGTTAAGACAAGTCTGTACCATGTAAACTTTATTACTTTCATTCTGAAAGTTTTTCTTTTTATAAACCATATTAGAATTTTACATTATCTCATGTTGAGCTCCTACCAGAGGAAGAAGGAAGCAGGGGCTTTAACACAGAATAATCTTTTGTATTTTCCCCAACCCTATTAGGAATACCTCAAAAAGGAATCCTAATTGCATAGTCAAACTATTGCATTTAAAGTGTCATTGCTAGCTACTTACAGTTGGCATGTTTTTGACGATACTTGGAAATAGTGTTTGTGGTGGTTTCTGTTGACTCTGTTGCTTTGAAGGTTGCTGGACACTCACGTTCTGTGGTGGCTGAATGGACTGCAGCGGTTGGTGGCTGGTTTTTGGCTGGGGCTGTCCGACAGTCTGATCAGTTATGTCTGGCAGAGGCCTAGGTTCTAGTTCAACTAAAGATGGCTTCGGTTCTAATGGTTGCAGCTGTTTAGTTAAAGGCTGTTTCGATTCCAAATGATGCATGGAAGGGCCTAATACCTGACCAACTTGAAAATACGGGTGTTTCAGTGCCTATAAAAGCATAGAAATAACAACAAATGGAAAATGGTTCCACCTAAATTTATCACACATAAACTGTTATTATCTGGCACTAGACTAGGTAAATATCATTAGCTTACGTAAACTTCAAAGATTTAGGAAGCATCCACTTTTAGTGCCCTATGTGGTGACTTTAAAAAGATAACCAGAAAAAAAAAATGATTTGAGAAATAAATACCATTTAAAAAAATTAAAAAGTGCAAGCAGGAAGAGAACTCACTTGTAACTTTAACATCCAGGTGAAGCAACTGTTCTATTTATCTAAAGATTTTGTAGAAAAACAAAATCTAGCTTATTTAAATTGGCTGAATTTGATGTGATTAATGCATACTAAAATACTAGATGCTGATTATGGTTTAGAGTACATCCAAAGGCATTAAGGAGTGAGTTAAGAAAACCTTCTACATAGAATATTTAAAATGTTCAAATATAACTGTACACAAAATTCAGTTATTTTCAGCCTGAGTATAACCATATACCTGCCAGCAATGAAAAAAATTCTAAGAAAGGAGATTATAAACATGTATGTGTTAAAACTTATTCTATCAATACACTGTTAAAAAGAAGAAATTTATGGGAAGAAAATATAAAAATATTAATAAAAATTATCACTGTTTGAATTTTACCTAGATCAGTCATCCAGTTGCTTGCATGGGGCAGGGGATGGACCCTGGATGTCTGGGTGGCAGAGTCTAAAGCAGTGCTTCTCAACAGAGGGTGAGTTTGCCCCTTGGGAGACATTTGGCAATGTCTGGAGACATTTTTTATTGTAACGACAGGAATGGGGGCGCTGCTACTGGCATCTATCGGGTCAAGACCGAGAATGTTGCTCAATATCCTATAATGCACAGGACAGCCTCCAACAACAGAGTTATTTGGTCCAAAATGTCAATAGGGCCGAAACTGAGAAAATATCTGAGGCCTTCTGTGCAGCTCAGTTGTGGAAATATTTCCCTTATCAGCATCGTATACCTGGGTGAAGGAGGAAAGTTGCCAGTCCTGCTGCCTCTTGGCTCTTCTTTTTTTAGGGAGCGGAAGGAGGAAGGGGTCCTATAAGATACGAAGGAGGAGAGCTGACAGCCCTGCTGCCTCTTGGCTCTTCTTTTTTTAGGGAGCGGAAGGAGGAAGGGGTCCTATAAGATAGCCAAGCCCACTTTCCCTGCACCTCCTGCCCTCACCCGGTGGCCACCCATGTGCGAACACAGCCCTGGCCAACAGTGAACTAACTCCTTCGCAGATGTGTAAGGGCAATTTTCAACAGGACAGAAAGCAACTCTGTATTTTACGTGGTCCCTGAATCCTACTACTTAACCTCTATCCCTAATTAGGTCTCTCTGATTTTGACTAGATAGCAGGGCTGTGAAACAATGTTGTGCTGCATAAGAAAGTTAGTTAAGGGTTAGAGGAAGGGCAGGGAGGTATATTCCAGCAGAGGTACAAGGAGTCTTTCTTTTAAGATGTTCCCTACTGCAACCGATGTATAATTATATTAATATCATTAAGTGGGACATAACGGATATAGGTAATTTAAATACATCAGTACCTAGCACAGAGAAGGCACTCAAATTCTGAATTAAGTCACATTAATTAATTAGTATGTCAGTACTCCTAAATTAATAATGCAAATTTTGGAGCTGGAGCTTTTGTGAAGGTGTTTGTAATTTCAAGGCTTCATGTGTAACAATTCTTCCCCTTTAAGATACCAGCTACTATCCTTCAAGAAGAGGGGAATCTTTAAAATATAGTAACATTTACTTTTTCCTGTTCACTAAGAGAAGACGTGACCATTATAGAGAATAAAAAATGTATAGAAAGTTCTCAAGAAGAAAATAAGAATCATCTACAATCTCAACACCCACAGACAACCACTGCTAACATTTTAAATCTTTTTCTTTTCAGTATTTCTTCTCATCATATAACTTGTCTATTTTTCAAAATCCTATGTGTATAAACAGCACTTGAGCATGAGATTTCTCCCAAATTCTTTAAAAAGTTTTATTTTAAAAAAGTCATTGTTAATGGTAGCAGAATACTCTGAATTAAGAATGCACATAGTTTAAATTTGGAAACATTTAGATTAACTTTCTTTCTTTCTTTCTTTTTTTTTTTTTTGGTGGCTGGCCATATGGGGATCCAAACCCTTGACCCTGTGTTGTCAGCACATCATAGATTAACTTTCAGTGGGCAGTTTTCAATTGGAATTGAACAACTTTGGGCATGAAACTTTATCCAACTTTATGACTGTTTTTAAGATTCTTTATATATATTGTAAAGTTGCTTTCTCTTACTAAGAGAGATGAAAAATGGTATCACATTTTTATTTGCATTTTAAAATAGTAAACAAGGATTGAACATTTAAAAAATATTTTGGTAATTTGTATTTCTTTTCCTGTGATTTGTCTCATGCCCATTTTTCTTTTTATAATATATTTCAAAGGCATATGTTTATTACAAAAGTAATGAATATTTAGAAAAAAATAGAAAATACAGATAAGCATTTCAGTATTTTTATGTTTTTTAGGAGCTTATATTAAGGATACTAACACTGTCCTATTTGTTAAAAATAATTCTTGGTGTCTTGTGTTTCAACTATGAGATTTTATGTAAAGAAAACTTTTCATTCTTCAGTAATCAAATCTTCTGAGTTTTTGCTTTGTGATTTCTTCTATTACTTTTATACCTATTTCTTCTCACCGTGAGATCAAATGTACATGTATGTAGGGCTGGCCAGTTAGCTCAGTTGGTTAGAGTGTGGTGTTGATAACACCAAGGTCCAGGGTTTGATCCCTGCACCAGCAGCTGCCAAAAAAACAAAAAAAAGTGAAATATACACATATGCTTCCTTTTCAGTTTTAATGGTTTAGGTTTTTTTACACTTCATTATTTAATCCTTCTGTGATTTATCTGTAAAGTATAGTGAGAGGTAAGAACCTAAATACTTTTCCCCTAAGAGTTAATAAATCGTCTCATTATCACTCACTGAATAGTCCTCTCCCACTGCCCCATTTCTGAGGCCACGTTTACCTTGTACTGACCTATACATTCTGCAACGTTGAGCTATTTGTCAATTCTTATGCCAGTACTTTCACTTCACTGTTGTCATTATTATCACTTTACAAATTACTTTCAGGCCTGTCAGGGCAAGCTTTCTGCCCCTACCACTGTTCTCTAATTATTTATTCTTTTTTTTTTTTTGTCTTTTTTACTGACCGGTAACGGGATCGCAACCCTCGGTGTCACGCCCGCACCGTGCTCAGCCAGTGAGCGGGAACCGGTCTCCACATGGGATCCGAACCCTCGGTGGGAGCGCCGTCGCGCTCCCAAGCGGCGCACTCTCCAGTGCGCCACCGGGCTGGCCCTAATTATTTATTCTTGTTCAACCTGTCTTCCCCATTCTTTCCCATTTGTTCTTCCAAATGACCTTTAGAAAACATTTCTTCAAGTTAAATTTTAAAAAAGCAAAATGATTTTTTGGTAACTTTCACAGAGAATTTATATTTAAACGATAAGAATACAATAAAGGTTATTACCCCTTTTTAATTGAAGCCCCTTGCAGATATTGGCACGGTGGTTTAAAGACCATGAGACTTGGGATACATCTGCAGATGTTATCAGGTGCAGTCACAAAGGAACAAAGCCTGGGCATCACAATGCTGCCCTCCTGTGGGAGCCAGAGGCTGAACATTATTACTCCAAGTCTACGGAGGGATGATGCTAATACTGTCGTGTAAAGTGAACAAGAATCCCACCCCTGAAACTTAAGGAGAGCATAGAAAAGTCTACTGTGTTGAATGATTGAAGAGATCCTTTCTGCAACCCATGACAAGTTTCTTCCTAACTGGTCTGTCACATGGCTGAATTTTTATCATTGGAGATTGATTCCTTTCAGCCTTAACCTCATCTCATATTCATAGAAATTAATTCATTACGTACACTGCATGCCTTAGGGTTGCAGGGCTTAATTCTCTTGGTAAAACCCTGGCTTAGAATAGACTTTTATTGTGATATTGTAAAACCTCAAATTTAAAAAGGAATAACAGGAAGATTCATCTTACCTGGCTTGCTGTTGGTCGTTTCTTTGGATCCCAATTCAACATTTCAGTCATAAGCTGAATAGCTTCATTACTGGCATTGGGAATAAGAGTTTTCAAGTTTATAGGAACACACTGGGGAAAGCGGAAATTCATAGAGGATGCAAGCTGGTATCCTTCTGGCCAGTCGCTCTTTGTGAGGAATACGTGTGGACAGGGGGAGCAAAAAGAAAACAGTAATTTAGTAATTAAGATTTAAAAACATAGTAATAACATAAAAGTCATTCACATGCAAAAATTTCAATGTTGATTCATATCAATAAATGCAAGAATAAAATACCAGACCACATACTCAATTCACTGCTGCAAACAGTATGAAAAGAACATTGCTGGGCCGGCCCGGTGGCGCACTGCTACAGTGCGCCGCTTGGGAGCGCAGAGGCGCTCCCGCCGAGGGTTCGGATCCCACATACAGACTGGTTCCCGCTCATGGGCTAAGCGAGGTGCAGGCGCAGCACCGAGGTTTGCGATCCCGTTGCCGGACACGAAAAAAAAAAAAAAAAAGAACATTGCACTGAAAGTTAGGAAAAAATAAGAATGCACTTATATAAATTTCAAAATATTAAACTCTTGTCCAGTTTTGGATCTTGATAATGATAATGAGGGTAATGGTGGTGATACCTGGGTGACTTTGAACAAATGAGGACACATGCTTTACAATGAGGCTGATTATTACAAAGATTCTCATTATAAATTACATATCACATACAATGTTAAAAATTGCACACAGCCAGGAAATGACAGTTATGTTAAAGCTTTAATAGCTATGTTTGTCTGATGTCAACCAAAAGGCACATACTAACTTAATTAGAATACAGTCACAGTCAGGCACTGCATAACAATGTTTTGGTCAACAACAGACTGTATATACGACAGTGGTCCCACAGATTATAAAAGAGCTAAAAAATTCCCATTGCCTAGTGATGTTGTAGCCGTCATACTGTCTTAGCACAATGCATTATTCACACAGTAACAGGCTATCCCATATAGCTTAGGCGTGTAGTGGGCTATCGCACCTAGGTTTGTATAATCACACTCCGATGTTTGCACAATGATGAAATCGCCTAACGATGCATTTCTCAGAACGGATCCTGTTGTTAAGCAACACATGACTGTGTACATACTTACACTTATTAAGTACATCTCAGAAAGTAAGGTCTAGCTGAAATGTGATAGTTAATTGAAAAGTACTCAGTTCAAGAAATCGAATGTCCACAGCAGAGATGTATAAAAGGAAACAAGAAAAGGTTAAGAGAAACTAGAGCCCAGGGCATCAGGGTTAATGAGTTGATGTGGATGGACAGTCACAGCACAGGTGAGAAAAAGTAAGCAAGGCCATCTGTATAGTCATCAACCGGCCACCAGCCCAAAGCCACACTCTAAACATGGTATACAGAATTTTTCCTTAAATCTCAAGGAAAGGCAAGCACCTTTTTTCCTTCAGTCTGGTGGGATTCTTTCTTCTTGCAATCCTTATCCCATCCCATTAAAAAAATAAGTATTATAAGAAAACCATTAAAGTATAAGCCTATTTGAAAATGAAAATATGAGATATCTAGGCAAAAGTTATAAATAATCAAAAGTTATAAAATTTAAAGCAAAGTAGCAAGTCAGAAATAACCAAAAGTTGGGCCGGCCCGGTGGCGCACTGGATAGTGCGCCGCTTGGGAAGCGTGGCGGTGCTCCCGCCCGAGGGTTCGGATCCCACATACAGACCGGTTCCTGCTCACTGGCTGAGCGAGGCGCGGGAGCAACACCGAGGGTTGCAATCCCGTTGCCGGTCCCCGGTCCGGTACGGGGGCACCACTGAGGGTTGCAATCCGTTGCCGGACACGGAAAAAGACAAAAGACCAAAAAAAAAAAAAAAAAAGAAATAACCAAAAGTTATAACAACTTAGGGACAAGAGTACTTACTTTTTTGGGAGTCCCTAAAACTTGGCAAATTTTAAAGATCTCATCAACCTCACTTGTCCCTGGGAAAAGTGGTCTTAACGTGTACAGTTCAGCCATTATACTTCCGACAGCCCACACATCAATGGGAGAGCTATAAACTGAAGATCTCAGTAAAACTTCAGGAGCACGATACCTGTGAAAATAGAAAACAAAACAAGAAAGGCTACCTTCATTGTAATTTCAACGGTTGATGGGCAGTAGGACTCAGATTGGTTATGCATGTCAACCAAGGAGCAGACTGAGTGCCTTCTGTGGGTCAGGGATTTGGGGTCAACTGGACACGACAGATGTTCCCTGACCACAAACAATGGGGCTGTAGACAAATGTAAATGAAATGTCCAGGTAGCCTAAGATAGGAACTCAAATGAGTAAGTACGCAAATAAGGGCTATTTGATATATTCAAGAAATATGAGAGGAAAAACCATGTCAGAAAGCACTATGTCCAGGGGCCGGCCCGGTGGCGCACTGCTACAGTGCGCCGCTAGGGGGTGCGGCGGCGCTCCCGCCGAGGGTTCGGATCCCACATACAGACCGGCCGTTCACTGGCTGAGCGATGTGTGGGCGCAGCACCGAGGGTTGCGATCCTGTTGCCGGTCCCGGTCCGGTACGGGCGCGACACTGAGGGTTGCGATCCGTTGCTGGTCACGAAAAAAGACAAAAAGGAAAAAAAAAAAAAAAGAAAGCACTATGTCCAGCATACATTCACATGAAGGATAGATAACAAAAGATTATCCTTGAGTAGTGGATGTTTTTCTTTTTATCAGCTTGAAAGGGCTTAGACCCTCAATTAACTCCTCTCCATAGACAATATCTTTGAGAAAAATACCCTCTTATAAAAAGAGCAAAGGTACCTGGTAAGCCCAACCCAGTATCTGCTAAATGGAAGATATTCTCAATTCTATTTCTTTCATATTGAAACCACTAATCTACTTTCTTTTTTTTTTTTTTCCTTTTTGTCTTTTTTCGTGACTGTCAACGGATCGCAACCCTCAGTGTCGCGCCTGTACCGGACCGGGACCGGCAACGAGATCGCAACCCTCGGTGTTGCGCCCGCACCTCGCTCAGCCAGTGAGCGGCCGGTCTGTATGTGGGATCCGAACCCTTGGCGGGAGCGCCGCCACGCTTCCCAAGCAGCGCACTGTAGCAGTGCGCCACCGGGCCGGCCCCTCTACTTTCTGTCTTTATAGATTTGCCTACTCTGCACATTTCATATCAACGGGATCATAAACTATCTGGTTCTTGTGACTGGCTTTTTTCACTTAGCATAGTGTTTTTGAGGTTCCTCCACGTTGTAGTGTGTATCAATACTTCATCTTTTTATTGCAGAATAATATTCCATTATATGTATATATCACATTTATGTATCCATTCATCAGTGATGAACATTTGGGTTGTTTCTACTTTGGAGCAGGTATGAGTAATACTGCTATGAACATTCATGTACAAGTTTTTACATGGACATGTGTTTGCATTTCTTGGCCATATACCTAGGTATGGACTTGCTGGGTCACACGGATCGACTCTGCCTCACCACTGAGGAACTGCCAGACTGTTTTGCAAAGCAGCTGCACCACTTTACATTCCTACCAGCAGTGTGTTATGGTTCTGATTTCTCCACATGCTCACCAACACTTCTTACTATCTGTTTTGACAAATATTTGTACAGACAGAATTGTATTGAATGTTTTGCCAAGTTTAGATGCTGAAACATTAAGTCTCAATTTCATTCCATTTCAGGATAGAATCCAAATTTATACAATTAAAAACAAAATCTCCTTCAAAAGAATCTTCCTGAGAGAGATTTTCCAAATCTAATAGTACATTTAAAAAAAATAAAACTAGTATACTGTTTGAGCTCTTATTTGTTTAATTCCTCCCTTGCTCTTGTAGGGATAAATATAATTGTCTGTTTGCAAACTGTTTTCAATTGCTGCAATTCGCTATAAGCTTCAAGGGCATAGGGTTTTGGGTACACCCTGTATCAAAGATTCTGACTGAAGATTTCTGAGTGATTTGGAACAAAATAGAACCAAAATGTAAAGGACTTGTTTACAAAGCTAGATGCCACTGTACATCACTTAAACTGATTTACAAAGTAATTCTTCAAAGGCAATGGCAGACAGCAAAGAGAGAAAGCACATCCTGCTCTGCTCAAGTTTTTTTTGGTTGTCAACATCAGTGTCAACATAAAAATTTTGTAGTTCAGTTACTCTGCCTCTGTACATGTGTGTGTGATTTGTAAATTCTGCCAAATTGTATTTTGATTGGTGGGACAGCATATCAATGGATGCAGTTATAGAATAGATGTGTATCATAACCAACCCAAGTACATTTCTGCTTTCTTGTCTACATCTTAATTTAGTAAGAACACTGGTTTTATGATGCTGCTTCCCTAAAATTTGTATTTGTATTATCACTGCAGAAACAATACTTCTATTTTCTTTTTTTTTTTTTTTCCTTTTTGTCTTTTTTCGTGTCCAGCAACGGATCGCAACCATCTTAATTTAGTAAGAACACTGGTTTTATGATGCTGCTTCCCTAAAATTTATCTTAATTTAGTAAGAACACTGGTTTTATGATGCTGCTTCCCTAAAATTTATCTTAATTTAGTAAGAACACTGGTTTTATGATGCTGCTTCCCTAAAATTTATCTTAATTTAGTAAGAACACTGGTTTTATGATGCTGCTTCCCTAAAATTTGGATCCGAACCCTCGGCGGGAGCGCCACTGCGCTCCCAAGCGGCGCACTGTAGCAGTGCGCCACCGGGCCGGCCAATACTTCTATTTTCAATGCTGAACTTTTTAACTGAACTTTTAAAATTACAGTAGCATTTGCAGTAATGTCAGACATTTCACCTTTCACAGAATGAATGTCCAAAAGCTTTACTTTGATTCTATGAATTGTGATGAAAAATCGGACCATTATGAGGAACAAGGTAAGTGATTTTTCCTTTGAAGCATTTGAAGGTACTCATTTAAGACTGGCATCGTTTAATTGTGAAGTTCTTCCTTGCTAAAGCAGCCTATATATTCACAGCCAATCACTTTACTTTTCATACCTGCATAAGCAAACTGGAGTCAAAAAAGAGTGAAATTAATTTAGAAGAAGAGTCCTTTGACCTAAATGGAAAGCAATGCCTCCTACAGGCAACTCATCTGCCGTAAACTCATCTTTGAAGCTGCACTTGTTACTGGTTGTCTTTGCACAGTCTTCTTAAAGTAACTACTCACTGTTGAAATCGATGCTGGTACTGCTTGGAGAGACTTGTGAGTTCTGGTTTTCACCAGGCCAGTGACTATGGCCTTTGTGGTAGATGGCAAATGCCCACAAATGTTGTGTGTAAGTTCACCAACAATTATTTTTTCACTAAATATGCACTTCTGTTTTTTGGAGGTCACTGTTGATAAAAGGTTATTGCAAAATAATTTTTCAAGAAAGCATTATCAAATATATTTGTTTTCTAGGGTTGCTGTAACAAAGTACCACAAACTGAGTGGCTTAAAACAACAAATTTATTCTCTTGCAGTTCTGGAGGGCACAAGTCTGAAGTCAAGGTGTCAGCAGGGCCATGCTCTCTCTGAAGGCTCTGGGGAGAATCTGTTCCAGGCCTCTCTCCTAGTTTCTGGTCTTGCTGGTAATCTTTGGTGTTTGTTCCTTGGCTTGTAGACAGATCACCCTGTCCTCACATTGCTTTCTCCCTGGGTGTCCTCGCGTCTGTCTCTATGTCCTTCTTATAAGGACACCAGTGTTACTGGATTAGGGCCCATCCTATTCTAGTGTGACCTCAGCTTAACTTAATTACATCTGCAAAGACCCTATTTCCAAATAAGGTCACATCTACAGGTACTGGGGTTAGGATTTCAATGTATCTTTTGGGAGGACACGCCAAACAATAAAATAGCTGTAGATTTATCCTACATAATAATCACTGTAGAAAGAATATTCAGACTACTTTCCATATGCCCTACAAGCATGGTCTGAGCTTCCGCCCACTTCCTGTGCACCTCACCTATGACTTCCTATGTTTCCCATGAGCCCACCAGTTGGCATCTTGAAGGCTCTTGCTAAGCCATAGCACAGTGGCTGGTATGCCACGTGACTGGCAGCGGAAGCAGATCAAACACAGATGGTCCCTGACTTAGGATTTTTCAACTTTACGATGGTGCAAAAGCGATGCACATTCAGTAGAAACCATACTTTAGTACAGTATTCAATAAAGTACCTGAAGTATTCAGTATTTTACCATAAAATAGGCTTTGTGGTCAATGATTTTGCCCAACTGTAGGCTAATGTAAGTGTTCTGAGCATGTTTAAGGTAGGCTAAGCTAACCTACAAGGGTGCTTCAAAAATTCCATGGAAAAGTGGCATTAGAAGATAATATGAATCTTTCCATAACTTTTTGAACTACCCTCTTATGATGTTCACTAGGTTGGGTGTATTAAATACATTTTGGGTTTATGATACTTTCAGCTTGCGATGGTGTTACATCCTGAGAAACCCATTGTAAGTCATGCAGTGTGTATACTTCTGCCAACATCCAGACTGGAAGAGTTAGCCGAGGACCACTTCTGTCTAACACATTCTGTCACACTGCTTCAGGAAAGGATTGGATAAAGTGAGATGGGAAACTGCTGGCCATCTCTCATATTTAGTCATGTGTTAAGGTGTGAATTTGGTTCACTGTTCACGAGTCTCTAACACTACCAGATAAGACCACGGAGGACGTGGGAAACAGACAGTGGTACTCTATCTGACCCCTCCTGGCTCATTTTAATGAAACTATTGATAACAGGCATCAGCTGAGACTGTCCTGGGCAAACTGGAACGTATGGTCACTCTGTGGAGGCTCAGGCCTCAGACCGCTCCTCTTTGCTAACTGTACTCATTCCCTTGATGAGCTCATCTAATCTCGTGATTTCCAACACTGATGGCTCCTAAGTCTACCTCTCCAGCCTGGCTCTCTCCCCTGAACTCCAGATCACATATGCAGCCGTCTACTTTGACATCTCCCTTTGGTTCTCATAACCAAAACAGAACGGTGCTTTTTCTCTGAGAGCTCCAGCACATTCCCCATCTCAACCAGCAGTGACTCCATCCTTCTAGCTGCTCAGGACAAAAACCTTGGAGTCTTTGACTCCTTTCTCTTATCTCCACATCTGATTCATCAGGAAATATACCCAGAACCCCACATTTCTCACCATCTCCATGGCCAGCAGGTCCAAGTCACTATCACTTCCTGCCCGAATTACTGTAATAGCCTCCAATCTGCTCTCCTTCTGCTTCTTTCCTTGATCCTCTAAAATCTTTCAACGCAGCAGCCAGAGGGATGTTTCTAAAATGTCAGATCATGGCTCACCTCTCCTCACAACCCTCCAGGGGCTCCCCAGTTTGCTCAGATTCAAAAGCCACAGTCCTTACGATGACCTACAAGGCCCTACACAATCTGGCCACCCCACAAACTCTCTGACCTTGTTTCCTACTACTGCCCCCCCTCCATTCTGCTCCTTGTAGATTCACTCGGGATGCGCTCCTGTCTTAGGGCCTTTACACTTAGCATGTGCTCTGCCTGAAAAGGTCCTGCTTGCCCCAGCCTCTCCTCGAGGGCTATTCTCAGTGAGATCCTCATTAAAATTGCAACATTCCCTTTCCCTCCCCATTTCCCCCACCTCCCTGTCCCCTTCTTTTCCATGTTTTATTTTTCTCCATAATAATGTATCACTATTTGATATACATATATTCTTAACTTGTTTTATTGGAATATTATATATACAGAAAAATGCATACATCATGAGAGTACAGCTTGATGAATTTTCGCAAATAGAACACACCCATGGACCCAGCACCCAGATGAAGAAAGTGCGTATTATCAGCATCCCAGAAGGCCCTCATATGCTTCTGCAGTCATTACCCCTCAACGTTACCCTGTAGAACTGCTATCCTGACTTTTAACAGCATAGATTAGTTTTCTCCATTTTTGCACTTTACATGAATGGAAGCTTCAGTATATGCTTTTTCTGTCTGACCTCTTGCTCTCAACTTTATCTTGTGATATTCAGCCCCACTGCCGCATTTACCTGTAGATTGTTCAATCTCACTGCTGTAAAGCATTCCACTGGGTGAATATACCATGCTACTGCCCATGGGCACCTGGGTAGTTTGCAGTTTGGGACTTATTATATGCCTTTTGATGAATATGTATATGTCTTTCTGTTGGTGACTCATAACACTTTAAATTTCATTTGGTATTGCCTGTCATGTAAGCAGCATTAGGCAGAGATTGTTCTCTTCCGTTTTGTTCACTGCTATTTTCCTAGTGCTCAAAATAATGTTTGGCACATAGTAGGTGTTCAATAAATATTTATTGAATGAACGAACGAATAAGTGAAATTCTTTTTACTTCTCATTTTATTGACCAGAATAGTAATAAATCAATACTCCTTTTTCTCTAAATAATACAAAATTCATTTCTATATTTTGTTTTAAATATTCAATATGAAACCTCCAGAAAGACATTTAACAATCCATTGTAGGAAAACTACAACCTCTGTTGTACAAGTTATGCCTCAGGAGAATTGCATAAAACTACTCACCATCTTGTAGATACATAATCAGTATATGGTGGCTGTGACCTTAATTCTCTTGCAAGCCCAAAATCAGCAATTTTCACAAGTTCTGGACCCATACAAAGCAAGTTTTCTGGTTTCATATCCCTATGAAAAAAGCCTTGGTAATATAGAAGGGGAAAACATAATAAATCATTGTGTTTAAACATAGCTCTGTTTGAATTATGGACAAAATATCACTGAGCCTATCATAATTAAAAACAATAATCTTTTAAAAAACATGTTTATTATTTAGGAAGACATGGGATGTGGGGATCCTGCTTTCCACATGATTTGGCAAGAAAGTTCATACGTTGCATAAGATTATTTAAAATAACTACTCATTTAACATGTATTTTTATTTGTGAATCCAGTAGGTCTAGGCACTGGGCTAGATACTGCCACATTATGAGTATCTCCACTAATATGCATGACAACCTAAGGAGATATTGTTGTCACTGTTGTATGACAGATAAGGAGACTGAGGCCAGAGAGAAGTAGCCTAATTAATGCCTGAGGAGCACCGCCTAATCAGGCTTAAGTCAGTGCGGCTGCTCTCACTACCGTTCCGTCACATCGTAGTTTAACAAGAGTCCTGAGTGTAATAACTTGTTTGAAGAGTCCATTAGACAAAAGTGGAACTTCACACATCTTAACTAATTTCTCCATTTAAAATTATTTTATTTAACAATTCAGTTCTCTCTGGTGGCTAAGGCATTGAAAAAATCTATAATTATAATGCTTATGTTACTAATTCAATATATAAAATAAATGGTTAGTGACCGAAGCTAACAGGCAGCCCAAAGAAAGTTAGGAAGAAAACCTAGGAAAAAGAAAAACATTGAAGCCCCCCCTTGCAAATCAGATTTGTTTATAAGGGAGCCTTTTTCTAAGGGTGCATACTAGTTGTACACAGATGGCTTGGATTCTAATGGCCTGGTGAAATGAGAGAATTAAGAAAGGTCATTGGTTGTAGGTGATCGTCTTGAGAGGGTTTTCATGTAGCCATTGCGCTAGGAAGACTTTCTAAGCCTAGACGTTTTTAATCACTTCGGAGCCAGCGTGAGCTCTACATTTGTGACATCTGCAACAGTTTTGTACTCAAGAGTTTATCTGGTACTTCTTACTCAAAACAGCTGTTAAGACTGCTAACTTCCAAGAAAAATATATTGCACATTCGTAATGTGAAGACTGGAAATGTGGTGGTAGAGCTAAGTGACAATAATCCATTAAATCTTAGAAAACTAAACCGATTACATATTTGTGCAGTTGAGGTTTTCCCCATCCCTAATATACATAAATTGGTATAGTTCATCCTATTTTAAACAAAATATTAGTCTCATTTTTTGATCACTATTATTTGAAAACACCTATTTTCTCAAATTATTATACCTGAGATGCTTATCAACTGTTAAGAAGAATAATTTGGCTACTGCAAAAATGTCTATTATTCTTGGAGCCTGGTTTCCTAACTCTGTAGTCACCATACAGTCAGCTCTAGATTATTCATATGTTGTTACTTCTAGCCACAATTTTTCAATCCCAAAATAACTTCCTCTTTCAACCCCATATGCTTAATTTGGCTACTGCAAAAATGTCTATTATTCTTGGAGCCTGGTTTCCTAACTCTAGTCACCATACAGTCAGCTCTAGATTATTCATATATTGTTACTTCTAGCCACAATTTTTCAATCCCAAAATAACTTCCTCTTTCAACCCCATATGCTTTGAAAGTTGCTGATGTCCAAGGCATAAAAGTCAATTTTATTACTAGCTTCTTCCAAAAGTCAAAGAATTCATGATGCTTTTGATTATCCACATCACACCTGCTTCGTTAGCATAAATCAACCCAGGCAAATATCAAGAGTTACCATGCTGACCAGAGTTTAAGATGAATTGAAGATCAAGAATCCATCATCAATAGTTAAAATAGCATATATCTTTTTCCCCCATGTAATTAATAAATTACTGACTTTTACCAATGCATTGTAGTATATTACCATGGGTTTTAGACTTTTTAAAGACCCCATAGTTTATACAGTTCAAAAAAATTGGGGATTCAGGAATTTCTTAAAATGCTTATATGGAATTCTTAGAATTCTGCATAGCATTTTTAGAAGATGAATTATTTCCTGTAGCAGTTCAAAGAGAAAGGAGAAAAGAAAACATAAAATATAGAATGAGATGTGACAGGAGACTGGCGGCGATGTCTGAGTGCCTGCGTCTGGCATGCAGCAATGGTATCGCACAAATTTTTCTAACTTAATTGGCGTACTGTAGCAGTGCGCCACCGGGCTGGCCCTCATCTTATATATTTTAAAGTGCAAAAATTACTATTAGAAGATGAAAAGTTAAGATTATCCATAATCCCCACTACCTGATTGAGAAACTTTTGATTTTTCATTATTCTAATTCAGTCCTAGTCTACCTGCAAGCATAACTTTTATATTAGGTATCAATGTTACATAAATATGATTTTGATTTGTTTTTTTCCCACTTATAAGAATTTTCCTAATCCTTACAATTATTACCTTCTAACGCTGCATAATTCCATCAATATTATACACTATAATTACCAGCTTATTCTCCCATTGATATTTATTTTAAATAGTCAAAGAGATAAGTGAAGCTTAGTATAGCCATTTAACAGAATATAATATTTATAGTAACTAAAAAGACTATCAGCATAAAAAATATTTGTAAGTGAGTGAATCAAATACAAAATTTTATTACCACTAAAATTACACCTAAGTGAAAAGCATGCATGCCTATATACGAGCGCTAGAAAAGACTCTAGAAAAATAAAAACTGATTTGAGGGGTAGAAATTTACTTTTATTTTAACTGATATTAATGTTATAATGATGTCACCTGAGAACATGTCAAACATTTAATTAAAGAAAAATTCACTTGCTATCCTTACACCTAGACAGTATATGTATGTGTGTATGTATGTGTATATGAAAAACACAGAGAGAAATCAACATCACTACATTGGAAAATTATTTCTAAGTATCTCCAAGTCTTTTGTTGAACAACTCTTGCTTTATTTTTATTTATTTATTTATTTATTTTTTCCTTTTTTTGTCTTTTTTCGTGACCGGCAATGGATCACAACCCTCAGTGTCGCGCCCGTACCGGACCGGGACCGGCAACGGGATCGCAACCCTCGGTGTTGCACCCGCACCCCGCTCAGCCAGCGAGCGGCTGGGCTGTATGTGGGATCCGAACCCTTGGCGGGAGCGCCGCCGTGCTCCCAAGCGGTGCACTGTAGCAGTGCGCCACCAGGCCGGCCCCAACTCTTGCTTTAAAAGCGGCCAAAATGGAATTTAATCTCTCAGATGTGACCAGAACAATAATCACCAGGACATTATCTCCCCAAGCCCATGGCAGAAGACCGAAGCTCTCCCTTTAGAGATTCTGTACATAGGTTTAAAAATTAAAATTAGAATATCTCCTTGGGATTGGTAACACATTAAGTTTTATCACTCACTTATGAATTCTAATAAATGCGTTTATTAGATCCTTTCTTGAAAGCTACTAAGTTTCTTTTGCCATTCTTTCATTACCTTTTCACAAGATGCTTGGAAGAGCAATGAAGATAATTTTCTCACTGGCACCCAAGGCCAGCTTTATTGCTGAGTATTGAGCTATAGGGCAATTTTTATTTTAAAAAGTATAAATGGATAGTATGTGTGTTTATATGAAATATGAGTATTACTTTGATTTTTAAGAAATTATAACAAAAGTGGTGGCTATGTCATAGCCGGTTCTTCTTCAGTGTTAAGAAAAGAGAACGAATTAATTTAAATCTATCTCTTAAGTGATAAATCTGTATACAGCAAAGTATGACACATCGAAAAGATCCGAAGAACTCATGGAGGAAATTAGTTTTTTAGAATAAAGACATACCTGTCTTTCATTAATTGATAGAGGTTTTCTTTCATATATTCAAATATAAAATAAAGATGGTCATTTTCTCTGATAACTTCTTTCAGTTTAATCACATTGGCATGATTAAGTTTCTTCAGAGACTGCAAAACAACAAAGCATTGAAATTTTTAAAGAAAAATTTTAGAAGTTGGTCAAATCTCATCAATGCTAAGTATGATAAGTACCTTAAATAATTTTCCATTTCTTCTGGATTCATTAACAAATTACATTTTAATATCTACATAATCTAAAAACATCTTAGAACATCTATTGAAAGCAAGCAGTAATTGTTTTAAGTAAAGAATGTTAAGTGCAAAAATAAACCAAGTCAGCAATAGCTACAGAACATTTCAACCTGTCGCTTCTTCTCTCGGTCTGTGAGATAGGTCTAACTTTTGTCTGACTTAACCATGTGAAATTCCATAAAAGCCTCCAAAAGTTTACACAAGTCATACAACATAAAATATTTTAAAAGTGACATGTAGCAATTAAAAAAATTCTTTCCTTTGATAATATGAATTAAAATGCTCTTTTAAAAGTGAGAGTAAACTTTCAAATATGAGGGTATAATTATTTTCTGTTCTCCACTAACATCAGAACAAGAAGAAATGAGAAATTACTTTAGGAAGATAAAGGAAAAATATAAACACAGGTATCTTTGGAATGCTTCCCACAGAGAACAGAATCATCTCCCTGGCTACAGTCCTCAGGTGTGAGGTAGAGTTAAGGCCTTTTCAGGTTCTGTTCATCTTTAGTATTTTACCTTAACTTCTCTCAAGTTCATACATTCGTCCCAAGAGTAGAACTTTCTCTTCATCCTGAAATAAATAAGGTCAAGTTTAGTGTACAGGAACTGAGGATTTGAAGATACAAATCACACTGGTGGCTTTCTTACTTTATCTATTATTGGTTCCCTTTGAGCAAACTATGAAAAAGAAAAACCAAATACGCCCTAGTGTTTTCATTTAGTATTGTAATCTCCTATTGAGTGTTCTAGAAGGTCCTTAGAAAGCTTAGAGGTAGGATAATTCTTATAATGCAGAGCCTCTATGAGGGTGTACTACACAGGTAAGGAAACGAATAAACATTTGGCAGCTCAACATAACGCTCAAGAGCATGGGCTGCAAAAATCAGCCTGGATTCAAATCCTTGTCCAGCTGCCCACTGATTGTATGACCTTGGACAAGTACCCTAATGGCCTCTCTGTGTTTCAAATTCCTCAGCTAGCCATAAAGTAGAAACTACTGCATAAGAAAAGCTTATTGTAAACCGCTTAGCTCAGCACTCAGTACATGTTCTTATTTTTACCAGCATCTCTGATCAACTATAATAAGACATGAAGGCAACGCAGCTATTATTTCTAAAATACACTTAGTGAATCAGAATTTCATTTGTAGTCACTCAGGTACTAGAAATTTATGAAGAAGCTTGATGAAATTGAGGGTTTACTGGCTTACCAAAGGCTATTTTTCAGTGCTATAGATTTATAAAATTCTTGCTAAAATGAAAAAGGTAAATCTAGCACAATGATGAATTTAAAATAAAATAGAGGTCAATGCAAATAAAGCTATACAAGTAGTATAATGAAATGATCACATCCATCCAAAACTGTACATACGATCTGCTATGATTCTTAAAAAGTAATTTCAGAATTTAAAAAGTATCCAAGCTTTTAGAAGCCAGACAAAAATATATTCAAGTAGCTTTTCACAATTCAGTAATTGAAACTTTTAGCCTACTTAAAATTTGTACTCTCTTCACCAATACTTACTAATGTGCTACTTTCCAGAAATTACCACTTCTCACCAATACTTCCCTAAGGTGAGGTATGTATCTATTTGCAAAAAACACAGAGATTTCCTTACAAAATAGTTATCTCAAAGACAAACCAATTTCCTAGAATAACTTTAAAAAGGCCTTTTGGGTTGCTAGCCATCTTCTTTTATTAATTCATCCAACATCAGCTACATGTCACGGCAATGAACAGATCAGATATGGTCACCGTGGTGCTCATCTAACAGAGGAAGTAGACTTTAGATTGGTTAATACAAAACAGATGGACAAATTAGTTATAAGGACACTAAGCTAGAATAACAAGGGGATCTTTTAAAGACTTAATGGACAATCCTTTCGATAAGGCAGCATTTCAGCTGAGACCTGAAAGATAGAAAGTGCCTGCAGCATGTGAAGACAGAAAAAGGTTTCAAGGCAGACAGAAACAGCTAGAAAGACCTGGCTGGTCAGAGGAAATGAAAGGCCACTTCAGGCTGATCCTTATTTCTTTAATACCCTAAACTAATTTGCATGGCTATACCCAACTACTCGTCGTAAGAAAATGATAGTTCCATTTCCAGTCACCTTTCTTGCTCTGCTTTTTCTCCATAGCATTTACCACCTTCTACCATGCTATATACTTATTTTTTAGTTTGGTCCTTCTCCCCTCCCCCCACACATAAGCTCCTTGAAGACACTTCCATAAGCCTAGACCAGTTTTTGGCACATGGTAGGTGCCCATTAAATATCTGCGTGGATTTTTATATCCACAGGTGGGCTTATGAGGACCTGCCACCCACATGGCAGACTCAGAAATGGAATTGCCAAGGGCTTAACAAATATTTAACTTAATGAGGTGAGGGAATCTTACTACCACCCTCTAATGAGTTGTATGTTACGGCTTTTTTTAAAATGGCAAAAGGTTTCTTACGTACATTAAAGTTTTCCAAAGGAAATTTTCAAAAAGGAACCTTTTACTTTGTCCGTCATCGCAGTGTTCTTCCAGCTTCTAACCACTCAGGCTCCGACTCACCCTAGAGTCCTGACTGCATTTCTAGACGGCTCCACAGCCTAGCCCACTGCTCGCTGAACTATGTCCACACTTTCTTTCCCGTGCTCACACTCTCAAGTCACACCCGCACGTCCAGCAGCTGCCAGCTGCCACCCCCTGGCTTCTGGGTGACCGCGCTGTGCTGGCGCTCGGCCTCTTGTCCGTTCCACGCCTCCACGTCACTCTTCACTGAGCACGTCTAGTCCCAACAGCCCCCAGCCCCGACACCTGACTCCTGGTTCTTCTGCTCAAAATGCTTCTAGAATAAAAAATACCACCTTCCACATAATCTATGTCCCTTCATGGGGACATGTTTACTGTCCACTTTGAACGTTAAGGATGGGCGGCTCTTCATCTGCCACATCCCTACATGGAATTTATGTTTAATTTGGGGGCTAAAGTATGGATGGATTTAAGGTGTTGTCCGAAGTGTTACACCTAGAACATTCGGGCCGACACTGGGAATGCCTAACAGTTCATACCGCCGAGCATAAGATGAGGGTCCTGACTGGATACAATGGGATGCGAGTTGTGTTGGTA